TTTGATCTTCATCAGTAAATGTTTTAAGTCCTCTTCACTTTCAGCAACCAAGGTTGTATCATCTGCAACTTTAATGTTACAGAGATTTAATTCCTAGAGTTTCCAGTTGCTGATGAGGAAGGCCCAGGCGGATTGTGCTTGGCACTTCCTGTTTCTGTCTTGGTCAATGACCAACTTTTTACATACTGTTTTCTAGGAATTAAAAACAAAGGATGACCAGTATGTGAAGGATCTGAAGAAGCAGTCATATGACATCTGCCTGCTCCTGGATAGGATGGAAGAACAAGTGAAGAGTGTAATGAAAACCTTTCGCCAGGAGCTCTCTAACATTGAGGTACAGGGGTGCGAAAAGACTATTTGGGAGGAGGACTGGGATCTGTCCTAACAATCCAACAAGAGTCCCAGATGTTTTGGTCATCTGAACTCTGTCTCTGTTCTAGGATTTCATTCATTTATTCACACATTCAACAAATATTCATCTAATGTATACTATATATAACCCAGGTGCTGTTTCAGGGGTTCAGAATACAATCATGAACAGAACAAAGTCCCTGTTCTCTGAAACCTATATTCTGTAGGCTAGACAAGTAAACAAATAAATCATCAGATATGTAATTTGACAGATGGTAACAAGTACCTTGAAAGAAAGTAAAACAGGATAAAGGGGATGGGGAGCAGAGGAGAAAGATGAGTACCCTATAACTGTAAGTTATCAAGGTTAGTGGTTCAAATCTACCAGCCACTCCTCAGAAATCCTATACAGGGTGGCTATGAGTCAGAATTGATTCAACAGCACTTAGCAAGAACAACAACAACAATAATGGCAGTCAGGCCAGGGAAGGAAAGGGAAAGGGTTGTGTCATATAGGATTCAGGAATCATTGCTTTGAATCTGAAATGGCACATTAAAGATTGAGTGAGACTTGGACCTTTCCAAGATAGAAGATAGCCAGGTGGGTGGGGCATCTTCCTCTGGATGTTGTAGATGCCCACTTTGTTTGGTATGCTACTTTGGCGTCACGAAAACCCCAGCCCTCGTAATGCACCTCTCCTAATCAGTGATGAGTG